GCAATGATGTTACCTTGCTTCCACTTCTCACTTGTACCACCAGCCAAAGTCAATGGCACCAACAAACAACCCAAAGAAACAACCATCAAAAGCAATCCAATGCAGTCCAATTTCCAAAACAAATATTTCATGAATCCCAAAAATCCAAACTTTTGATAAAGAGTCTCCTTTTTCTTAAACTCGACCCATTCTTGAGTTCTTCCTGCCAACCATCTCATATGAATCATACAACAGACAAATGGAATACAGGCTAATGGGAAAATGAATGCCCACATTCCAATACCCCATTTCCAGTTCATACCAACTGCACTGGAANTAACGTTACCTGAAATCCAGGTATTGATGATGAATGGAAGTGCTGGGCAGATTGTAAAGAACACTCTCCATCTCAAACTAGAGAAATCGGACATGATGAAAATCAAGACGATAAGAACACCACTGTATCCAATTTGGTACAACACAGCACCAGCAACATAAGCGTTAATAGTTGGAGACTGACATTCGATAATTGTACCAACAACGTAAAACAAAACCGCAACAAGGAATAACTCCAAACGACCAAACACATCGGATAATCTAGCGTACACTGGTTGTGATGCAGCAGCAGTCAAAGCAGTGATAGCATTCACGGTAGTCAACAAAGAATGTTCAGACCAAGAAGCAGTAGCATACCCAGTGAACACAGTTCTAATCTGTGAATCAAGACCATAGGCATATCCCACAAGGAATGCCGATATCAACAAGACCAACTTATACCAAAACGTGTGTTTCCATTGTTCAGCCAACAATTCAGCTTTCAAAACACCAATAGACTTTTCATCTTCAATAGCGTGTTCTAACTCTGATGAAGTGTTGTCACTGGAAGTTTTTTCGTAAACTTGTTTCTCTTCATCCATTGAGGATGTCTTCAATTCAGAGTTTAGTGATGATGGCATTGGTAGACTTGGGGTGCAAGAAGCTGCTCTCAAAACTGATTGCAAACTTCTTCGAGGGTGAAATGGGAAGTTTCGAATCCCTTTTATATTAATTCTTAAAACTTATGAATTCCATTTCGTTGAGTACAAAACTATGTGAAGAACTGATGGATTAGATTTTTAGTCAATTGTTAATAATGTAATATTATTTCTTTTCTTGTACATATTCTATTGTTTTCATTGTTTATAGGTTGCATAGAATTCTGCACCAAGTTAGATTTTGTGGTGGGTTATGGATAAATTCCGAACGGACTTGGGGGACATTAATAAGTCCTATGGTTTGGGTTTTTTGTTAATTGCTGACGAAAAGGGTTCACTGGTGCTGCTTCTTTGGCAAGACTAATGAGCAGAGTGTTTGGAACTATAGCGACAGAGTCGTTTGCTGTAACCAACAATGTGAACATATGATTTTAGACTGAAGTCCTTTTAGACGAAAAATAACACTCAACGGGGCTTATTCAGAAGATTTCAAGTAATGACAAAAGCAAGCCAATTCAAACGGCACGACATTCTATACGAAAGCATCACACAAGGGAGACGACTCAACTGCGCTCTCTTCTCTTTTATTTTTGTCCTCTTCATCTGATGAAACTAGCAAAACAGCTACTAATGTCAATAAATTTTGTTGGTCTAAAGGGTTTTATATCTTAAAAGTGCCAAGGAGCGCAAAAACGGCTACTTTCGGAGGAAACGATCCGAATCCCGTCTTCAAAGCGCACAAATACCGAAGATGTTCTTTTGTTAATTTTTTACAGGCATGAGTTACGATTTGCTTTCGCTTGGTTAGAAGTTTTGCTATTGTTTACCTTATGTGTTTATTGTTAGATGTGAATAAAAGCCAATATCAGCTCAATTCTTTTACACTCTGTTTTGCGGCGTTTTATTCGATTTATTGTTGCCACAAAAACAAGACTCTTTTTTCTGTTCGAAGGTTCCGTAAGACATACCGAATTCAGCTAAGGCTATAAAAGCATACAGCAAGAGTTAAATACATTTTCAATACAACAAGCATTTAGGCGATCACTAGTGAGGAGCTCTTGCTGTCAGAACACTTGAAAATGGAGTTTAAAACTTGACAAATTAAGATCTAAACGGTCAAGCCAAGAAAAGCTCATTTTATTCCTCTTCCTCTTTAAACTTCTCTATTATCAGATGAGATCTCATATTGGAAAAGGAAAAGGTGTAAACAAAAATTTTCAAATGAGCAAATTATTCTGTTCGTAAATGGAAACTGAACGGGATTACGCAAAATAGAATTTTCTTAGCTTATTGGGATTTTTTTTTTTTTTTTAAAAAAAGATGTCGTCTAATCAATTTGATCAACTGTAAAGTAAATATGCATTATTCATCCTCAAATATGCATAATGATGAAATTGATTAAAAAAAAAAAAGTAAAAATTAAGAAAGAGATGAGAATTTCTAGAAATGTAATCATTTGCGATTTACGGACAAAAAAATAAGACAATAAATAAAGAAAAAAAAGATTTCTAAAAATGTCGCTATTGTTTTTGCTTTTCAAAATGAAAAAGTTTTGCTTTAGTTTGAGTAAAATTTAATGAGTTTAAGCCTCTGCAAAAGACAATAAACTACTTACCAAATTGTCACCCAGTAAAGAAAGAATATGAATGGGATTCCATCTTTTTCGTTGGTGGTGTAAAGCTGCTGCCATTGCAAAAATCTTGTATATCAACATCAATCAGAATAAGAGAGTCCAAAAATGCCAATTTATAATATAGGGAAAAAAAAATATGCGAAGATTTTATACTTCTTTAGAACATATATGTAAGTTGTGATGCAGGATCTAACTCTGTATTTTCCTCTAGTTATTCAACCCAATCAAAACTCGTATCTCTGTCCGAGTTTGTTAAAAAACATTCTTTATTCCAACCAATGAAATAATTTGAACTAAAATTTTAACCCTTTGTGCAAATGGAAATGTGCAAAACCAAAGCAAAAGCAAAAGCCAAAAAACAAATGTCGCATTGTTCCATAAACAATGTGACTACACGCCTTACAAGAATCAGTTGGAAGAACTGCCCTAATTGGTTGTATAGAGTTTTCCATAACTCCCCAGTTACTCTATTACTCTTTGTGGCTCTACTCAAAACTTGGAACAACCTTTTTTTAAAAAAAATTTCTCGTATGCTGAGCCATAAATGGACTGGTAATTTTTGCAAATCAATATGCTTATGGATTCAGCGGCATGCAAAACTAGCGTCCTATTTGTACTATATGCACTTCTCTCAAGTATGTGACGGAGACTAAGTGAAATTTAAATCCCAGAAGAGGATCTGTTCAAACAAAGATTTCTATTAGCTTTGGCGTTAAAAATTATCACAATTGAAAACAAAATCTCATTTATTCCTACTTACTTTTCTTTCGCATAGGGGATGTATTTTTCATGTAGTATCTTTTGTAGCACTGTAGAAAAACTTGCAAATGAAGAATAGGAATATGCAAAATACGTTAAATAGAAAATTTCGCAAACTCAAATCTGGGTTTTCCACTCGCGTGGCTTACTCGACCAGAGCTCGACTCGTCTCGATTCGCATTGACCCGCGAACGCAAGGTGATAAAATATAACTTCACAATTAGAACATTGCGGGTGGGAAATTCGGTGGTACTCTCCATTCAATAATAAAATTTTACTCTTGCGAGTTCTCCTTAGCGTGCAAACGCATGGGCGGTGTTAAAAGAAATTTTCAGACTGGTTTCTCCGGTTTATGGGAATGACGCCGTGAATGGTTGGCTGTTGGTTCAGTGTCAAAGCGAACAAGAGCTATTTAGTGCAATATGCGAACTTGGTATATTAAAATATATCAAGAACCCGATACCGATCATTGTAGATGAGTCGAGCTATTTTTTTGGAAACCCTGTGGGGAGCCCATTGCAACTAGAGTATTGGTTCGAGACTTATCGCAAAGAAAAATAAGACAACAAAAAAGCAAAGCAAAGCAAAGCAAAGCAAAACAAAACAAAGAAAAGAAGAGAAAAACCACAGGCAGAGCACTCGATCTAAGAGATTCAGCAACCACTACACCTGCACAGCAATGATACTCGCAAGTATACGTCGGATATTCCAATCATTTAGAACGGAGGAAGAAGAGAGATTATATTCCAGAGCAGCGTTTTTCAACTTACTCGGGTTCTTGGGTTCTTGTGTCTTGTTTTCATTCGTGGCTCAACGATTATCTCGACATCCAAGAGAATTGGCTCATATAGCAAGAGCAGACGCTCTACTAAAAGCTATCCTGTCGTGATAATGGAAGATAAGTAAGGTGTTTACATTTATTTAATCATGCGCTCTTAACATCGTTTCCCGGATCATCTACATTACAAATGGTTATCAAACTTATCTAATTCTTTTTATACAGGAGTGTTGTTTGTTTGTTTGCTTGTTTGCTTGTTTAGTTTCTCTTGTTTAAATTTAATGTACAAATGATATTCTATCCTTTAATCAAAATCTCTTTACAAAATTCATATGCTGTCCACGATATAGCAGTACCGGGGATATTAAATATTATTCTTGGTTTGAGACCTTTCCAAAAGGCAGCATACCCAGCTTGCTTGTATAATGCTTTAGCAGCACTATTGAATCCAGTCACATGTCTCAATGTTTCATTCTGTGATATACCTTTGGTTTGCAAGACGGTCCTAATACAATCCAACGGCGTAGTTAAAGCGGCTGCAACACCTCCCGCTATACCACCACTAACACAATGCAAGTATGGGTTGTATGAGTTATTTGGATTGAGCAATGATGAGCTGTATTCGTAGAATCCAAAATTCAATGCAGCAAATGGAATATTGGTGAATAATGTAGTTGGATATGAAATGAAAAAGGCGTAAATACCCTCTTTTTTATATATATCACGGGCCAACTTGATCAACCTTACCGAGGTTGATTTGTTTTCAGTATATGCAGCACTAGCTTGCATTCTTTGTTTCAACATGTCAAAGGGGGTCATCAAGGCATCGGAAGCAGTGGTGGCAGCAACACCAGCACAACTGGCTATAAGTGGGTGGTTGGCGTCCGTGACCAACTTGGTTGAGTGAGGCGAATTTGTCAATTTATTGACAAGAAATGTCTTTGTCGATTCAAATACCGAAAAATAAATTGCATGTGCTGGTCCAGCACCCAATATTACCGACGATACACCTTTCCACAAGGCTCTAAATCCTTCGGTTGAACTGATTCTCGATATAGATTTCACTAATCCACGAGACAAATCCTTGGTAGACAAATTCATTTGCATTCTCGTCTTGATTGAGTCTATAGGGAACATGACTGTGTGTTCAGCTATACCGGCCAACGCACCAGCACTCAAATGAGCCACCAAGGATGCATCTTCTGGTAACGCCTCGTAGTCTATTTCGAGCGGATCTTTTGGTAAAAACTGTATCTGATGTTCGTGGTGCTCCATTCTTAAAGAATTTTTTTAATCTATTCCTTTATAGGTCTGGTATTTTAAAAATTATGTACAAGGATATTTGATGGATATGAAATTTGAAATATTTTTTTTTTCGTCTTCTCTGTCTCACTCTCCGTGCTTTTGTAGAACTTCTCTATGTGAAAAAGAAAAACTATAATTAAGTTGTTCACCTGCTATCAATTTCTCTCCAAGATCCTAACTTTATAAATTAATCAACTATGGAAAAGATGACTGATAAAAAAGATAAAGACTTCAAAAAAAGGATAGCAATTTGATCTTTTTTTCTAGTTGGAAGAAGAAAGGTAGGAAAAAAAATAAAATAGAATTATAAAACTTATGTAAGAACGGTGCGGTTAATTCTCCATTTATCGGCTTTGCTCTTCTCCCTCTCTCTCTCTCTCTCTCTCTCATAATTTTTTTTTTCTTTTTTTTCTTTTCTCTTTCTTTGTACACGCACACACAAAATATCATTATTATTGTTTGTCATGATTTAAATTGATCTAGACGTCATTATCGAATTAAATCTATTCTTATATTGATTACTCAGTTTTAATATAGAACAAGACAAACAAGCAGACACACCACAATGTAAACTATGAGCTTATATATATACACCAATGGTTCTACCAATGGTTCTACGAAACTCTTTAAACTAACATATCTTAATCCAGTTTGGCTTTACATCAATCTCTAGATTGCAAAAATATTCACATGCATTTTACGTTAGATCTATTAGAATATTGTCTATATCAATGGCTTTGCATCTATCTTCATATTGTACTGTTCTGGCACAATAGACTTAACTTTGCCTGTCTTTAAACAAACTTCGACATTATCAGCTGCCCATTCTTCCATATTCTTGATTGCTTCAAAAGTATATGTTCCCATGTGGGGTAAACTAACAACATTGGAGAAATCGAGTAGTTCTTGCGAAACTTGCGGCTCATTTTCAAACACATCAGCACCAAACGCTCCGATTTTACCTGACTTGATCAATTCCGGTAATTGTGATTCGTCAATGACTGCTCCTCTTGCGGTATTGACTAAAATTACTCCATCCTTCATTTTGGAAATCTCGGCCTTATTAATTGAATGACGAGTATGGGCATTTAATGGAACACTAATGCAAATTATATCAGCTTGTTGGTATAATTCATCTTTGGTAACGTACTTGGCTCCGTTTTCCAATTCCGGCTTCAACTGGCTACGATTATGGTAGATAATTTCTTTAAATCCAAATGGCTTTAATCGATCACGAATTGCTCGTCCAATACCTCCCATTCCCAAGATACCAACAACTTTACCCTCGGGACTTCTTCCTAATCTAGCACCAGCAAAACCCTTTTTTGGCCATTCACCTTTCATCATCAATTCATGTCCTTGTTGAAAATTTCTTAAACATGTTAGAGTTAAATATACAGCTGTATCAGCAGTTGGAGCCTCAACTGGTTCTGTCACATTCGACACTTGTACTCCTCTCTTGGTGAATGGCTCAACATCAACTTGATCATACCCAGCACCCGTATGACTCACCGATACCAAAGTATCTGGCATATGCAGGGCCAATTCCTCATCGAATCTCCCAGTTTGTTCAACGGAAGCAAATGTACGTAAAACATTAGTCACTTCTTTGTATTTTCCTTGTAAATCTTGTAAAAACTCTTGTCTGTTTGCCGATTCACAATCAACAACTTCAACCAACTTGGAAATCTCTTGCCATTTCTCATAAGCAAATGAGATTTTTCCAACTCTAAGAACTTTTGGCTTGGGCATATTGAATCTTGATGGTGATAATGATGGTTTTGTTGATGAAATTGACCTGATTGAGATCTGGGACCTTATTTTGGGAAAGATCTTGGGGATTTTATACTCGATTGAGTTGAATCTAGCAGCCATATAGAAGAGGGAGTCCGAAAAAATAAAAAAAAATAAACACTAAGAAACAAAAAGTGGGGGATTGAGATATATTCGGTGGGGGTTTTTTGGGGGATCCAATTTATGTGACACGCAGTCTTTCTAATTGAATACAATGGGTAAGCCGTAAGGAGTGATGTACACTTTTTATCAATAATTGGGTGAGTTTGTTGGATCTATTTTTATTTTGTTTGTTCGCTTGTGGGTTGAAACGACAATCGAATGCAAGTGGGGGAGAAGGGAGGGAAGTAGCTTCCGAAAATTATCCATTCGGATCGAGTATTAAGCGCAACACTTTCAAAATATTACTAGCACCACCGAAGTCAAATTCGTTTCCGGTGCCAATGCAGTCTAGTTAGTTGAGATAGTGTATGAAAATCTTTATCTTTGATAAGCTTACAATTATTTTGACTCTTGAGATGATGGAGTCAGAAAAATCAAAAAAAAATGAAACAAGAAGGGGAAAAAATTCCTTTATGGAGAGATAAGGGAAACAGGCTTACTCATCAAGGGAATAAACACTAGTACTTCAGACCAGCTCGTACATATTATGTCACTTGAGCCTTCAACTACTGCCAGGGTTACACTACACACCACAAAAGGTCTGATCAGGATTGACGTATTTGCCAAAGAACTACCGCTTACATCAAGCACTTTCATCAAATTATGTCAGCTTAACAAATTTCAAATGACAACGATTCATGTCAGTCCACAGTGCATTTCATTCTCAACCCCTCCACCCCCTCCTTCTGCTTCTGCTTTACAATCGCTGACTCAGGGAGAAACACAGCAGCATCTGCATATTCCCAAAGAAACAAACTCTCGAATAAGATGTAAACATCGTGGTTATGTGGCTTATTCAAATGGACAATGGATAATCAGTCGTGGTGAATTGAGTGCTAATGCATATCAAGTATTTGGAAAAATTGATCAAGAATCATCGTGGTATATTGTTAATGATATAGCCCAGGGTGAAACTGATGAGGATGGCGAATTGGCATTTCCTGTTACAATTGAAAGTTCAGTTGTTGATGTACCGTATTTCGAATTGGATGCGCATAAACAAGAAGGAGAGCTAGAGGGCGAGGAAGATAAAGGAGCAGATAGAGAAGAGAGACCCAAAGTGAAAAAGCCAAGAATTGCAATTGACTACGATGGTGATGGGAGTGATGAAGAAGAGGGGCCAATTCAGATTAAAAGTGCTTATGATACCGACAAGAAGAGGAAAAAGACGAAACAGAATAAAGCGAAGGGTGACGACAACCTGGAATTGAAATCATCTGAGACTGTGGATTCTGAGTCAAAGACAGTTGCCACTACTGAAAGAGACAGACCAAATGAGCAAGGTGAATCTAATGACAATGACAATGACAATGACAATATCAATACCAACGGAGACGGAGAAGGTGCAACCTTAGCAAAACTGGAATCAAACTCAGAAGGCAATTCAAACTCCGATTCAGATTCAAATTCAGATTCAGATTCAGAATCCGACTCTGACTCTAAACAACATCCACTAAAACGAGATCCTACAATTGATTCTCCATTTGATCCTAAACTCGATTTAACCAATGCAGAATCCATTACATATCAAAAACTAAAATCTCATAAATTTATCATAAATACATAACAATAATAAAAAAACAAAGATAACACATTGCAAATAAACCCAAACCTAAATAAAACCATTTTTTGTAAAATTTTGTAAAATTGTGAATAAAAATAAAATAAAAAGGCAGCATTGCAACCTATTTTTATGAAAACAGCAACTTGAATATCAAAAGCTCTAATATTTTATCATTTCTATTTTTTGTTATTTTTAACTTTTGTCCCCTACTTCCATCACCTTTTATGCTTCACATGTATATCCCGGTAAGTCATTATGTACATTGGGCAAATTCTTCAACATCTCTTCGTCAACTTTACACTCATCGTTCCTCCCATCATCATCAGCATCACTATTTCCACCACTGCAAAACCATGGATGTTTCAACAAGCTTCGGGCGTCATAACGTTGGTCCAAATCAAAAGTCAAGCATTTCAAAATCAAGTCACAAATCAATTTGACTTGAGGATCTCCAGCGGGAAATTTATATTTCTCAACCAAAACTTCTTCCAATCCCCAGTATTTTAAATTATCAATATTCTTGAAAATTATTTGACGATGATTTTCTGGATGTAATTTGAAAAATTTACCGGTTAATTTGCAATCAACGAGATATTCATCCAGAGGAAATCGGCCCAATAACTCAACAATCTGGGCTAAATGATCTTCATCCTTATCGAAAAACTTGCCGTCATGAGGATCAAACAAGAAATCGCCCGTGATCAATTCGAAAATTATACATCCAATGCTCCATAAATCAGTTGATGAACCCCATGATTTATACTTGAGAATGATTTCTGGTGACCGGTATTGGCGCGTTTGAATTTGATTGGTGAAGTGTTCATTGGTGTATGTGGCATTACCCAAATCAGCAATCTTGATGGAGATATTGTCTTGATTGATACTATTGGGCTTGAGTAGTGAAGTGTTGCTGCTGGTAGTTGATTTTCTTCCAAGATCAAATAGGGAGAAATTCTTGGGGCTTATAGCTTTAGACACTGATGAACGACGAGCTTTATCAAAATCGACATCCTTGAAAAAGATATCCGATGATGTTGATGCCGATGAAAGTGGCTTTGATGACCGAATTGGTGAATCGTATTTACCCAGGATGGAGTTTTTCAGCCTCTTGTAGTAAAAGTTGGATGAGTGTGAGGATGTTATTGATGTGGTTGATTCTTGGCGAGGTTTTTGTTCAGTCAGCGATTGCTGATATTGATGCTGAGGTGAGTGCTGTTGTTCTTGCTCCACGTTTTCCGGATGCTCCGTCACGGTGGCCGGTGGTGCTTGCTGAAGTGCAGCAAAACTCAGTGTTTGTTGGAGTAAATTGGGTTTACTAAAAGATCCTCGTTTGATCAATGAAGCAGCACGACTCAATGACGAATTGCTGGCTCTTGCTTTTGCCACTTTTTCATCTTCAATCAGGCGTATTACCTTATTGATATCGTCAATATCAATTAAAATATTCTCGGGTTTCAAATCAGTATGAATGATTCCACAATGATGCATATAATCAACTGCCAATAACAATTGTTTAACAATAGTTTTCACTATTGGTAATGGAATACCGCCCACACTATGCGAAGTCTTGATAAGCTTAACCAATGAATCAGAACTCATTGCCTTGAGTTTCTTTTCCATTGAATTATGCCATGGATCAGTTGATGCTAATTTAATGGACTGAGTGATGCCACTGGCACCAAGCCCAAATCCAAACCCAATTCCCGTTCCAGTGGCACCAGTAGCAGCAGTAGTCATTGAAGAATCAATATCTTCGCTAGCTTCCATCACTGTTTCAATTGGTGATACAGTAGTTGATGATGATGATATTGTTGATGCGGTCGAAGGTGGAGCAATTGTTGAATCACATATGTCTTTTTTTGTCAAGCCTAAACTGAGTTTAGATTTGGTATTACGTTTGAAATATTTATTATCCCATTTACCAAACTTCATTCCTGGTTGAACTTGCTCGGACTTTTGCTGTGGTTGCAATTGCAGTTGACCTTGCCCTTGCTTTGCCTCATCGCCTTCAACATTCTTTCGCTTTATCTCTTCATCCACATGTCTATAAAACTTTTTATACTTGTAGATCAAATTCAAGACATTTTCACCAAGAATTTCAAACACCATACAAATATGATTACCATTAGGACCGGCAATTTCAAAGTCATCAAGCAACTTCATGAGATGCTTATAACCCGGGTGTTGTTTTGGTGGATGATTGTCAAAATAGCTCACATTTTCAACTGGTAAATGCGCATGATTATTCACGGGATCCTGCAAGGTTTGTAAAATTTTGATTTCATCGCGTGCTGCTTCTTTATAATTCTTGTTGGATTTGACAAATTTGATAGCAACGAAATACTCATTATAGTCCTCGTTGCTATGTAATGATGTTGATGAGTGAATAGAACTGGATCCGTTACCAATTGTCGAAATTCTAGATTTGGCAAGCCAAACAGTTGAGAAATGGCCCCAACCCAATTTACGCAAAATGACATATTCACGATTGGGCAATTTGCGACTAAAATAAACATCTCCTTTACAAACTGGATGATACCCACCGAATTTATAGTCTTGTTCACTTTCTTCATGTTTTGGATCGAAATCTAAATCAGATTGAGATTCTTGAAGTTCTGATTCGGAGCAGTATTCATCCTCTTCATCATCATTTTCAAAACTAAACTCGGTTTGATTCTGTCCTGCAGTTGCAGTTGAAGTTGAAGTAGTTGGTGTAGATACCTTTGTGGCTACAGCATCCTTGTGGGGGTTTGTAGTACGTATATTGTGATTACCCGAAAAGGAACCAATTCGTAATATACTCTTTAGGTTCCTCTTTGGTGCTGATGGTCTTGTCGTTATTGAAGGCCGCGTGGTTGTATCTTTGGGATTTTTCGTTATACTGCTTCTTTGCTTACCTGGGTTTAATCTTGTTTTCGTCTCCTGTTCATTATCAACTCTGTAGTCAGATGCATTGACAATCATTGTATCTGAATCCAAATCCATGGCTGTGCTCATTTCACTGTTTTGCAATGAAACGCAGTCGGCCGTGAATGAGGTATATCTCTCATGATCAGATCCAGATTGTGGGTGTGTTGGTTTTGGTGTAGCCATTGTTCCTTGGTGGGAAATGTAACCAGGTGAAGGCGAAAACAATGCTGATCTAGGAACTGGTGCTAAATTGGTGGTAGTGAAACATGCATTGGTTGAGTCAAACGAAAATGGTTGTGTTTCGTTGTTGTAGTCGTCGTCTTCTGCTTCTTCTTCTTCTTCAATAGTCACATGGTCATTAGAGGCAGCTTCTTCTTCTTCCTCTATGCTTCGTATTATAGTGATGTGATTTGTGTTATCCATTATGCTGTGGGGTGTAACTGCTGGTGAGTTTGAAGTGCATGATTGTTGTTGTATAGGTGTAGTCAATACACTCGAGTTGTATGGAAATGTGGCATCTGTTGGGGAAGGTAGTGATGTAGATTCATTATATTGTTGTATTCCTTGTTCTTCTTCCTCTTTTTCAACTGGTTGTTCTTTTTGTGCTGAAGTTGAGTTTGCTCTTTTCCTAAACAAGCCCTGCAAGCTGAATTTAGACTTTTTATCACCTGTGGTGGCATCACTGTTGTTCTTTTTCAAACTCGGAGATCTGCCTAGGAGTGGAAGTGATGAAGAAGTCACTGATGTTGGGGTTGCTGTAGCAGCTGCATCTGCTGTTACACCATCAGTGATCTCGTTGGTGGCGACTGATGAGGAAGAAGGAGAATCCAAGGTGTAAGCAGTTGAGTTTTTACGAAAATGACTGTTTTTGCCAGGTAGGTTTTTCTCCTTATAGTTTTGGCTACGGCTATTGCTGTTATTACTATTTATTCTGTTTATCAACAACATTTTTGGTGTGTTTGCTTCAGTGTTTTGTTGGCCGTGGGAAGTGAAACTGTGTTTTCATAAGCGTGTAATATGTAGAAAGTTATTGAGTAGTAGATGAGTACTGTTGTTGTAGTGTTTTTGTAGTCACTGGACTCAGTGTAGTAGTTCAATATTAAGCATAAATATATAGATATAGTACAAAGGATGGAAATGTATTGGAGTCTGGTTGTGTAGGATGGCTGGTATTGTTAAAGAAACTGTTTGTAATGTCTTGTTTCAATATATTGGTGTAGTAGTAGTAGTTGTAAGAGTTGTAGTGTTGGTTGTTTTATATGTACAAAATGTGAGTTGATTAACTTAGATAAGTTCAGTCTAGTTCAGTTCAGTTGGTTGGTTGGTTGTTTGGTTCGCTGTAAAATTTGGTTGCTAGAATTCGGTGATGATAAGGCATATATATATTATATTATACTTTTAGATTATGTATTATTAAATTTCTATTTATGTCTCTCTGTCTCTCTTTGTCATTTTCTGTCACTCAATTTTTTTCTTTTTTTTTTTATTATGTTTTTAATTTGTTTTTTTAATGTTTAACCCACTCCGCATATCAACATTTTAATACGTCATACATACACTACCCTTTCACTTTTAACACTTACACCACAGTTTTTAAACAAATTTTATTCGCTATATGCAGTACTATACACACTTTATATTCTTACATTTTTATTATCACCCCCTCTTCGGATTTCTTTTTTTATGGTAGCAATGTCCAAGACTTTTTTTCTCTTTCATGTCTCGAAGGATAAACCACCTCATAAATTTTTACTTACGCCTAAGAAAAAAAAAGCTGAGCATCAATTGATGGGCAACGGACAGGGGGCAGAGATAGGGGTACACACCATTGAATTTGTGATATAGTACACCAATTGTGTAAAAAAGAGTAAGATAGAAAAAAATGGAAGGGAGGGGTGTAAATGGATAAGCATCACACAGTTTTATTAATTGGTGGCTTTATCTTTTTTCTTTTTTTTTAGTTTTTCAATTTAATTTATTTTTATTATGCTCATTGGGTAACGAATTAAAACTGTGGTCATTGGTTGGGAAAAAAAACTCCAATCAATGTAGACCGAGACAGAGCGAGAACAGCATTTGCCACAGGATCCTTTCATAGACGGAATACAGCAAGAGTGAGAAAAGACAAGAGTAAAAGTCTATATATGGCACTTACTTCCATAGTTCAGCTGCTTGTGTGGGCGTGTGTGTGCGTGTATACCACAGTTGAAATGAGCTCAAAATGCCTATTGATAGATATCCTTAACTATGGCCAATGATCGGTTACAAAATCAGCTAATTTAAAACAATACCAACGCCTTGTTTTATGTTACTAGTTTGTGTAGTGTGTATTAGCCAAAGCTCTTTATGCTACATATAACTGTACTACTAATTGTGGCTTACTGCTCTGTTCAGTTTTAAAAGCTAAAAAAGGGATTTCAACAAACTACAATTGGAAAGGACTGTGGTGGGTTACGAGATTTGGTGGATTCAGAATCTGCAGGTCTCTTTTATTTTTTTGTGCAAGTCACGTGTACGAAGAATGCAACACAAAATTAGACAAATTAAAAAGTTAAATAAAAAAGTAAATATAGCGAGATCGATACACAATTTGTTGTTTTTCTCCATTGTCTATTGTCTATTGTATTGGTAATGGTACTGATATTGTTAAAAACACCAAACAAAAGGCGACTAAAAGACGAAAACTGAAGCCAATCAGTGAGACGGAGAGTGTAAAAGAACCAAACCAGCAAACACCTCCGTTTTCAAAACTAAAAGTAAGAGGAAACCCCGAAACTTCCTAGGATTATCTTTTATCACTCTCTCCTCATTTGATTGATTGTTGAGTGTGTTTTGCTTTATCAGTTTTGCGTTATCTAATATTATTAAGCTCTTTTGGTTGGAGGAGGGAGGAGGGAGGGGGGAGGGGAGCATGTTAACCGGTAGATTCCTACATTACGCGCTAATTATTTTTTTTATTTAACTATTTTTGCATAAAAATTTTATTTCGCCTTTTTTTTTTTATACAAAATTAAATTTTAATTTTCTTTTGTTTGTTTTTTTGTTGAGCGATTTTTTGTTTTTTTGCGGAGTTTTTGTTTTTTGTTTCCGGACCGATTTACTTTGCTGCAAACCTATAATAAAACCGACCCCCCTGCAACTACAACCAGTTAACGCATCAATAGTATCGCCCTCATCCCTTACTTACGGTACCACTCGAGCAGTAAGATAGTGAACAAAAAAAAACACATACTCTCTCACTCTTTCTCTCTTTTGCAGCAGATTTACCTAACGAGTGTCTTTTTAAATCTAAAGAGTGAAAGTCAATGTTGAGGTTTGCCAGTTAATGTGATACAGCAACAGCATCAATCAATCAAATAATCAGTTGCCTTTTGCATAAAAAGTCTTATCTCTACTTTCTCAACTGTTGAAGACGATTAAACTCATCAAACCCTCACCAGACTTCATTCACACCCACACACACATATATATAATTAGATAAACTACAGATGCCGTACGATATTTTTTTAAATTTTATTTTTCATTTTAATGGCAAACGGTAAAAGCAGGCGAATAGAGAAATTAAAAAATAATGAATTAAAGGTACACAAAAGTCTACCAAAATAACAAACGGCATTTTTTTGTTTTTTGAATTGTTTTTTTTTTTTTGTTTCTTCTTCTTCTGGGATGTCAAAAAAAATAAAATAAAATAAAAAAAAGCAATGTCAAATTCTTGATTTAAGCGACACACGTATAATTGCAACGACATTGCTTTTTCAATATTCCAATCTGAAACTCACAATCATTTGTTTCTTACTGTTGCATTATATTGTCATTCTTTTCTTCATTTTTCTGTTTACTTTATCATTATTAGCATTGCTATTCGTGTCTGTGTCTGTGTGTGACTATAAAGGGAAACATGATGCAGAATTACATCATTATTAACATAATGTGGGGTTTTATATGTACTTTACTGTATCTCCAACTTTTTGTTTTTGTTTTTGTTTTTCTGTTGGGTTTATTTTTAACCCAATTCGTAAGTTGAACCCAGTTTAATTACTTAGTTATGAATAAAGTAAGGAGAAGAGTGAATTGGACAGTGGCTATTATTGGCAATGGAGTGACTATGGTGAAATAGAAAAAGCTCATTAGCTAGAAGTATATGTGTTATTCTGTCCTAATTTTTTGTATAAGGAAACCCAATTCCGTTTGTTGTTTTAGTTTTTTATTGCACGCGTCTTATCCATTTGATGTACAGTTTTACTTATTTGAAAAAATACATTCCACCCCCTCCCCCTCTTTCCTTCTATCTTGAAATTTTCTCATCAATTGGAACATCGTTGCAGTTTTACAAATGTTCAAAGGGGCATAAGAATGACCGTCGTTACAGTTTTAAAATTGATGTTTTTAGATCTCAAAATAAAGACAAAGAGGAGAAAGAGAGGTACTGCAACATCCTTATCACTTTTTGAGTGACTTTATGAGAACCCGAAATCGCATCTTAGCTTTTCTTGCATATTCAAGAATGCCTTCGGTTCTTGTTTCTTTTTTGTTAAGATTTTTGGTTCTTTTTGCTCGGAGTTGTTCGATGTAATAATCGGATTTATTCAATCATACGGGTCCGTGCATGATTGGGGAATTAAACACAACTGAGAGTTAGAAGTAGAAGTATAGACATATTCGCATTGTCTTGTTATGCTACGTTCTTTATCTCCTTCATTTTGCTATGCAATGCCATCAAGTATCCTATTGTACCAATTGAGGTTTTTCAGCTCATGACATTGCTCCTTGGTACTTCTTAAAATGTTCTTACATCATTGGCTTCGATTGATTATTTTATGCAACGATCATCTATCATTGCAAAATGTAACGCAACTAAATGCATTATTCTTTGCGTGACATTGAAATGTGGCAAAATGTTGGGGAATCTCCTACATACTCAACACAAAATGCAACCCTTGCATTCGCATTGATGTTCTGACTTCTTCTTTACTGTGAAGGGAGGAGTGTATATGTCAACCAAGTTGACCTCTAGTAGCAGTAGAGGTCAATATCCAAATTATCTTCTCTGTTTTTGTTGCCTTCAAATAAATGTCTGTTTTTTATTTGGCTTTTCTTCACATCCATTTTAGAATGCCTCTACCGCAACACGAGTGCCTCAACCATAGTCACAACAACGAACATATGACAATCTACAACACGTAGCCTATTAATATATACTGCCAAATACAGTGTTGTTGATTAAGTATACTAAACTTCCTTTCACTGCCATACTTTTTGGCATCGACTAATCTACTTTTGTGGTCTCTATTGGGTGCATGAGAGAAAACTGCAGCATCGTCCTACAGCAAAGAGGACTTGCCTTGAATATGGATCCCGTTTGCTGATGATTTTAGCAAACCCCGGAACGGGATTTGCTTCCCCCTTCTTTGTCTTTTATTTTTTCAAATGCCGAGGCTCTTAAACAATCAGAACATTTAACTGCAAAGGGATACAAAAGAGGAAAAAAAGGATCAAGCAAACGTTTGGACAACAAGTTCAAACACCTAAAGATACTGTTTGTTAATTTGTCGCTATTGAAGGTACAAGGGGATAAGCTGTTTAGAGAAAGTATCACAGGCAAAGATAAGACTTTGGCGGGGTTAGAAAAACTATTTTTTAAGCCTTCTTGATTCCAATTATTGCAACTCTCAGATAACAGTGGATAGGACCATGTGGGTAACAAATATTCAGGTTAAACGTGGGCCTGTCTGGCTATGGCATTAGCAAGCTTCCCACCCCCATTCAAGCTTGAAGCTTTCATACACTGATTTTCCGCTAATACATTCGCCATGAAATCACGCCTTTCACGGGATCTTTTTGTGTCGACTCGTCCCAGAAAAAAAAAATTAATGCGCTAATTGCAAATCTTTTGACACATTCAGTTTGACAGTAATTATTCTTTGCCTAATAAAACCTTAGTTATCGAGATCTCACAAGGAGAAAGGGCTCGTATGTCACAAGAGACGCAGTTAACTGCAAGTTTGGGAGGCCAACTTTCAAAACAATGTTATTCTAACCAAAGCAGAAACAATACTGCGTTTGAAGGGAAGTTTTATCTCTCCACGTGGCTCTATTTTTGTCCCGTTTATTGTCTTTTTTTTAAAGTTTTGCATTAATTAATTAATTGCACACAGATAAAGCCACTTCAAATGAAAACAATAGCAATGAAGGACACAAAAAGGCTCGTTACTTTTATGAAGTTGAGTAATAGAGAGCAGGGACAATTAGCTTGTGCATGAACTGAGACAAACGTGGTCAAAGGAGGTCTGAATGGCATGCACTTTCCCATTATAAACAATAGATCTCATTATACTTCAAAACCAATTTGAGGCTGGAATTTTTTCAAGCATATAAAAGGATGGGCAAAGGTCGCAATTTTTCAGAGGGAACGGGTAGCCTAGGTTGTCTTACTCATTAAGCAGCATCATGTTTAATTCTAACCAAACGACTGACAAAGTACCTGAAGTTATTGAAACGGTGCAAACAGACTCATTTGAGCCATCACAAAACAGACATGGCCAAATCCAGAAAGAACACTACACTTATGATGCTGAAGCCAGGCGTCATCGTTTAGACGGGGGTGTCAAACTTAGAGACGCTTTGATGATTCTATGTGCTGGATTTGCATTGATTTCCGATGGATACCAAAACAACGTCATGTCAATGTTGAACAAGGTGTTTGCGATAGAGTACCCAAAAGTGTATGACACCAACTTGTCAACCCAAGTTTCCAATGCATCCTTGGTGGGTACCATTTTTGGTCAGCTTGTGATTGGATTCTGTGCTGATTTGATCAGTAGAAAATCAGCCATTATTATTGCCACTTGTTTTTTGATTTTTGGAAGTGCATTGTGTGCTGCGTCCCATGGTAAGACAGTATTGGGTATGTTTTGGATGTTGACGATTATGAGAGGAGTAACTGGGTTCGGTATCGGGGCTGAATATCCTTCGAGTTCAGTCACGGCCAGTGAAGCAGCAAATGAATCGGTTAAAAGAAGAGGAATGGCATTCATATTGGCAACAAATGTGCCATTGGCATTTGGGGGCCCATTTGCATCAATCATCTTCCTTATTGTAAATAAAATTACAAAGACCCATTATGATGCCTTGTGGAGAACCATGTTTGCCATTGGATGTTTCTGGCCATTGTCAGTCTTTTATTTCAGAATGAAAATGGTCACTAGTGTCTTGTTTAAAAAGAATGCCATTAGACATAGGCCACCATATTGGTTAGCCCTCAAGTACTACTGGCCAAGGTTGTTTGGTACAACAGTAACTTGGTTCTTGTACGATTTCGTTACTTTCCCCAATGGTATCTTTTCAGCAACAATCATTTCCAATGTGATATCCGATACTGGTGATTTAGAAAGGATTGCCGAATGGAACTTGTTGCTTGGAACAATTGCACTACCAGGCTGTTTTGTTGGTGCGTACATTGTTGACAGAATTGGAAAGAAGTACACCATGTTGATTGGATTTATTGGCTATATCGTATTTGGACTTATCGTTGGTATCGCTTATTATAGAGTCAAGAAGATTACGGCGTTGTTTATCGTTCTTTACGGGTTAATGCAAAGTTTCGGTAATGCTGGTATGGGAAATGTCTTGGGATTGGTTTCGAGTGAATCCTTTGCCACCCCAATTAGAGGTACTTTTTACGGTTTCAGTGCCATTATTGGAAAAGTGGGTGCTGTTTGTGGAACTAAAGCTTTCGACCGTGTATTGACCATTGGAGGCTCAAAAGCAAGTGGACAAAGATATACTTTTATTATTGCTGCTTGTTGTGGGTTGGTAGGTGTTATAATCACTTGGATATTCATTCCTCATTTGAAAACCGATGATTTGTTGGAGGAAGATGTCAAGTTTAAGAATTATCTTAGGGATCAAGGATGGCACGGTACTATTGGTCTTGAAGAGAAAGCAGATGAGGAGAGTTTGGACAGTTCTGAAGAGTCAGATGCTGTTGAATTGCAAGACCAAAAACCAGTTGAATATAAGGGAAATATGTAATTACTTTCTGTTAAGTAATGTTTAATTAATTAATTTAGTTCTTTGGTAGTTTCTGGTTGCGAACTTCATATTTGCGCGCAACGCTTTTGCAAAAAAAAAAAAAAATTCTCTTGATCAATATAAAGGACTTTTCCATCTGCATCTTCCCATAATGGAGAGTGAAGCACCGCACAAAAAGGCAAAAGTTCCACCCCCAACACCGGAAGAGATCGAAAGGCGACGTGAAGCTAGAAAGAATGAGGTGATACCGCCAGGATTGTCGAGGCGTGAATGGAAGAAACAACAAAAGGTTCTTCGATGGGAAGAAACGAAGGATCAGTATCGGCAAGATATGAGGTTGAAAAAGAAGCAGCAACGAGAACGGAAACGAGAAAGACTCAGGAATGATGAAGAATACCGAAATAGTGTCGCCAAGAAACCAAAACATCAAATTGCGACTAATGTGAACATCGCCATTGATTGTGAATTCGATGATTTAATGAACCAAAAGGAAATAGTATCAATGGCAAACCAAATCAGATCGTGCTACTCATCAATGAGACATTGTCAGTATGAACTACCTATTCAGGTGCTATCCTTCAATAAACGACTCAAAGAAAGGTACGAGACATCAAATCCTGAATACACATCATGGAAGGGTATTGAATTCCAATCAGAAACTCTTGCTGATCTAATAACAACAGGGAACAAACACCAATTTGTCTACTTGACTGCCGACACCGATAATGACATTAAAGAGTTGAGTCCTCATCAAACTTATATCATTGGAGGAATTGTCGACAAGAACAGACACAAGGACTTGTGTTTTAATAAAGCTAAAGAAATGGGCTTGGCAATGGCAAGGTTACCAATTGGACAATACATCAAGATCAATAGCCGTGACGTGTTGGTGACTTCTCATGTGTATGAAATTATGTGTCGGTGGTTTGAATGTAAAGATTGGCGGGAGGCATTTAATAAGGTATTGCCACCTAGGAAAGTGGTTCGTGATAATGATGATGAGCAAGAAAATATAACTGGAGGGGAAGAAGAGGAAGCAGAGGCATGAAGATGTTGTTTAATAAGTTTTTATAGAGGACAGTCGATTGTCGATACTTTGTAATTAAGTGACAGCTAGCTCTTATTTGTCTACCAAAGTTGATTCTAAAAGGTAGCTTTGTATTTGTTTTTTTTTTGTTTTGCCAAGCTTATATCGACAGAAACTGCAATTGCCACACTCACTCACTCTCTCTCTCTACCGTCAATCATGTCCACAAGTATAGACTATGCGAGCCTCAAAGATAGATTGATAATTGAATACGCCAAGCGAAAAGTATCAATTGAGAAGAAGGCTGCCACTACAAACCTTCATGAAATTCAGTGGTCTTTCCCAGTGATTCAATCTATCTACAGACAAGTTGATTGTTTAGCGCCTTATAAAGACCCTGCTGCATTAGATAAGGCTCTCGATACAATAGATTTGGCCAAGATTTATGAGAATGTGGAGCGTCGTGAACGTGAAAATACCAATCCCAAATTAAAGTATGATGATTTCGTGGTGCTTGAATTGCTACGGTATTTCAAACATGACTTTTTCACATGGGTCAATTCTCCTTCATGTCAATGTGGATCACCTGATATGGTGAATCGAGGCATCAAACGTCCCGACCTGGCCAACAATCCTGATCTCGTATCCATTATCGAAGTTTACCAATGCCGAAACTGCAATCATACGGTTGAATTCCCTCGAATAAATAATCCCGTATCATTGCTTCGTACTCGTAAGGGCCGTTGTGGGGAGTGGGTCAATTGCTTTTTATTGATCTTGGAGGCGTTAATTGGAGAAGGTAAGGACAGAATCCGGTACGTGTGGAATAATGAGGATCATGTTTGGTGCGAGTATTACTCTAATGGGTTGGAAAAATGGGTTCATTTAGATCCTTGTGAAGCCGTTTTTGATGAACCACTTTTGTACTGTGAAAATTGGGGTAAGCGAATGTCCTACGTCATTGGCTTCAATATGAATACCATTATCGATTTGAGTCAAAAGTACATCACCAAAGACAAGCAAATTGATCAACTGGATATTGTTGACCCCAAGAAGGTGCAAAAGGTCATTAATTTTTACAATGTGAAGAGATTAGGAGAGTACCTCGTAAAAGAAAGATTGACCCACACGGAAAATGAACTGTGGAAAGCACTATACACCGATATAATTGTTCCAAGAAATCGTGAGCATAAAGGTTTGAGCACTGACAAAGCCACACCATCGTCTGATTTGCCCACAGGTCGACAAACGGGGTCTGCTGAATGGACTAAAGCTCGCGGTGAAGATGGATAGATTTAGAATCGATAAATATTAATAGAAATTGATTTCAAGCAGTTTGATATAGGTGTCAAGTGTAGCAGAATTTGGAAAAAGCGCAAAACCATTTCCTTAACTATTTATCTTGTGATTAAATATTGGTTGACTGGTTAAACATATTGATTCTTAATTTATAAATAGGTCCCTTGGCCCAGTTGGTTAAGGCGTGGTGCTAATAACGCCAAGATCAGCAGTTCGATCCTGCTAGGGACCATGTTTTTTTTTGTTTTTTGTTTTGAGATAAACAATTGTAAGGAATAGTCTGTACGTCTATTTTTTTATGCATGGCAAACCAATGGAGTACCCAATGTTCCTCTCCCTACGCTTCACATCTTTATTAATGTCAGTTGTTAAATTTTCAAAGTGTACGTACGTTCTTTGTTTTTGGTTCGTTTACAAAACATTCCAGAATTTTTGTTGCAAAATACAGGCAAAATAAGGAAAGTATAAGGAACCTTATAATATATAGACAATTAATCAGTTAGTACACTATCTAACTTCCTTCTATTATACCTTCTATTCTACTGAATTAGTATTTTCTTCCCATATTTGTTTAAATCTAATGATCTGTAGGATAGACAAAGTTTCAATGTTGGCCTTTGCCGTCGGCATAACAGAATCCTTTACACCTTTGTGGAGCTATTCAGATAGATGAGAGGAATCGAGGAGCACAATACTACTCATGATAAGCATTTTGAATAACATCTAACTGAAGGCACATTATAAATAACTTTTATATGTGGTGGAGTATATTATTTTTAAGTCTCATTTTTACAACCATTTTGGCAACCAGATTTACAATAGACCACACCACACCACACCACCCACCAAACAAATCAATCGAGAACACCAAGTACCTACTTTCAAAGAAATAACATGCTTAGATACAGAAGAGAGGCACGCAATCCAAGAGCAGCATTACTTGGTTCTTTTGAAAGCTTCTTCGAAGAAAATGCTAGCTTTGATGAGTACATCCGAGATCGATACAATCGTAATCCCTTCACTGATGATGCTATAATTGCAAGGAGAAAGAGGAGATCAGTCAGAATCGCAGATTTCTTAAAGAGAAGTATTCAACGGGTTTTCCAGATAAGGCTCAGACATCAACGTAATCAAGTTATCTATCCCGTGATTATGAATGCTGCCGATATCCCCAATTATGAAACAGTTGTTCCTGCAAGACATCTCACTACCAGTATGGTGGTGCATCCGCGTTTGAAGCAATTAGCCAACGAGTTCAGGGGCGGGATAAAAAAAAGACAGAGAAATGAGGTAAACTTGCTCTCGTCTGCAGCATCTGCTATGTCTTCGGTTAACTCACTTTTTGAAGATGATCGTGTTTCACTCGAAGGCACTGGTGCCACCACTGCTGATTCGAATATCCCCATGGATTTGATATAGATTAGTTAGAAAGATAGAAAAGTAATAAATAGTGAGAGCGCCCAATTTTTCGGCAAGTGTGTGTCATTTGCTACATTCCTCTGGTGCGATTCTTTTGACCCATAGAAAAATCCAGTCACACGCGTCTTCCTGCGAAATTGCAAATTAACGCCATTTCCCAGTTACATTTGCACTACGTTAATATCATATGAGGCGACAGAATATACTAAAGCAGATACACCTATAGTAGCCATGCATTCGAAGAAACCATTTTTGGGATTAACTTTTTGCTGCACAGGAGTAGAGACAACTACGAGAACACAGATTATGAGGATGGTTGAGTCAATGGGCGGCGTGCAGTACCTAGACCTCATGACGGATGTGCAGTACCTCATAGTAGGCAGCAGAAAGACTCAGAAATACCAATTCTGTATCAAGAACAGACTAGATATAAAATATCTCACGACAGACGCCATATTCAAGATCCACGAGGAGTGGTTAATGGGCAACGATGAAGTGGAAACGTTGCTAGATAAGTACAAGTTACCAGTATTTAGCGATATCAGTGTTTGCTTTTCACGGGTAGAGGTATCACAGTCTCAAGCCAAGCATCTTCTTAGTTCCAGTTTCAGGCGTGCCACCGAAGAGCAATTTAGTGAAAAGATGCTCCTAAGACAGTTCACCCAGAATGCCGGTATAGCCAAGGAGTCACTACTGAATAACCAAGATTGCATGATCAGTGCTGACCCGAGGGGCACGAGGTATAACAAAGCAAAGGAATGGGGTATTCCAGTGGTACACCCTGTATGGATTGTTGATAGCATAATACGGGGTGCAGCTTTGGACTATGATGGTTATATATTGACCAATGATAGCCTAGATTTGTACGACAACGGTTGTAATGTTTGGCTGCAGTTATCGAATGAAAGGAAGCGAACAACAAGCAGACAATTATCCAAACAGTCTGAAGAGGGACTAAAGAAGCTTAATCGAGGAAAAAGGACGGAGATATGGAACTCAATCATGGATCATACCAATTATGAGAACAAAAGATCTGTAACAGATAGAACATGGGACGAAGAGAGTGACTCCGAGAATAACGAGGAAATTGAAATCGTCAAGCCCGTTGAAACAAAGAGCAGGAACAACTTGTTTTTAGGGTTCAAGTTTTTACTAGTCGGGTTCACCGCTAGGGAGTCTGACTTATTAACCAGTGGGATTGAAGCGTTCCAAGGCGAGATTACAAAAGACGTTAGTGATACATCCATGTCCCATATAATTGTCCCCACGAATAAAGGAAGTGAAGCATCCACTTTGCTACGGGCTTTGCCCAGTGAAATCAAACTGTTGATAACTAATGGAGATATTAAGATTGTGACGGAGTTTTTTATCGAGAGGTGCATATTCTACAAAAAAGTTGTATTGGACCGATGGGGACAACCGATCAAAGGCTTGATTCATTCGTCGAGAAAGTTTAAAATATCAACATCAGGATTCACTGGTATTGAGTTATTGCATATCGAAAAGCTAATCAAGTTCTTAAACTTTGAATATTGTGAGTCCTTTTCGGAGCAGCGGGATTTGTTGATTCTCAATGTCAACTTATTCAAGGAGAGCTTTATGAGGAATTTGCCGAAATTGTTTCAGTATCCAAACAAGGATATTCTTAATTGTCCCACTTATCAATCGGGTCAATCTTCAGTATCATTATTGTCAGCAAAGAACAAGATTGATGCTGCAAAAAAGTGGAGCATTCCCGTGGTGTCAATCGCATATTTGTGGGAGATACTTGACAAATCTCAGTATAAATCGACGTTGGTAATTCCGAAGTTGAACAACTCGCAATGGTGTATACATGCACCCATCAATTACATTCGTCCAAGATCATTAATTGAGTATATTAAGATTATGGATGGTGCTGGTTCTAATAGAGCTAGCGAAGAAGTTAATAAAGAGGATGAAGATGCAGTCAAGTTGCCATCTCCAAGAAAGGTTAGACAAAAGCAAAAATATGGTAAATTAATGGGAAGTGTGTCGCCCCTGTCAATGAGAAACAAGCTCATGGATGTGGCCAAGAGTGCAACAACATCACGATCGACTATCCAAGTGGACGATGACGACATTGTAGAAGGTACTGGTACAGCTGAGGATGGGTTGAATTATGATGTTACAAATGATGAAGACTTGTCCTCGCAAGTTAGGTACGAGGACGTTGAGTCTGTGATGAATCAAGAACGCCTTTTGAAGAAGTTGGAGGAGGAATCACCCGAGTATAGAAGAGGAGTGACTGCAAATGGTAGCACAGTAAAACGACGCAAGACCAGGGGGCAATAGCCCTAAACGAATATAGCACGTGTCATTGGCAATTAATCTTTTTGCAGAAACAAAATATAGAGGGTGTTTAGAGTAAGCGGGAGACCATACACGTCTACGACGGAGGGGAAGGTTCAATCAGGACAACGATGTTACCAATATTGGCATGAAGGTTTATACAATGATAGGTGTTGGCTTTAAATGAAAGGACTTGCAATTGACTTGCCTTTTGAATTTCTTTTTTTTTTTTTCTTTTTTGGTCTCTGTTATTTTTAAAACCATACTCTGCTCATCACACTTCTACAAGATTCTACGTATAATCTTATTGTTTCAACATTTTCAAGTAGAGTGAAAATTTTCATATTTTTCACCAGTTTTGTAAGTTTTTTTTTTCTTTGTCTTCTCTTTTATTTTGCATCTTTTGCCATTATCTCTCTCTCTCTCTCTCTCTCTCTCTCTCTCTCTCTCTCTCTCTTTTCTCTTTGCTTTTTCCTAAGGGCCCTAATTTGTCTCTGCTGTTCTTTTTTTTTTTTATTTTTTTTTTTTCCAGAGGTTAAATTTTTCTTTCATTCATTCGAAAAATTTTCCATTCCTCTTTTCTTTCTTCCTTTTCCCTTTCTTCTTTTTTTTTTTTCTTCTTCTTTTTCTTCTTCTTTCTTTCTTCAGTATTCAATCTAGTTAATTAAAAATGGGTAAAGAAAAGACTCACGTCAATCTCGTTGTTATCGGTCACGTCGATTCAGGTAAATCA